GAATTTCTCCATTGTGAGACAAATAAAGGTTTTCTTACCTTATCTTAATGCATTCAGTGAACTGATTTCAACAGTAATTCAGAAGGTTTGTTGCACACTGTTGTCATTCTGTACTAAAAGGAACACCCCACTCAATCCTTAGCCAAAAACTAACTCAGTTATTCTTTGAAATGATTTATTTCAACTCTTCCCTGAAAAAAAAAAAAAAAAATCGGACATTTACATTGCCCGATTAGGATTTCATGGTACCTTTTGAGGGATATTTTTGTTCATTAGGTAAGGTGGCCACCACATTTGGACACCTTCTATACAGTTACAGTACATGATCTTCCTGATGTCAGAGGTGATGAAAATAGCCTGAACAAACATAATGTTAAGTAATTCATGATATGGACACTGCCCTAGATCGTGTCGTGTAGAAACTTTGACAGTACTAGCATTCGGAAGTTGAAAAAGCCTATTTGTTCTTTGTTCATAGCTCCAAAACACTTCACACTGGCACTGTGGTGTACTGACGTACAAGGTGGCTAAAAAACTGTTATTTCTAGTCGGGAGCGTCATGTCAAGTCGTCCAAATTTACAAAGACACAAAACCTGGTTTGCACCAGTACAAAAATCAAGATGTGCCGGTTTTTCCACTTCAGCAGACCTGCACATTCTCCATATACTGCTGCTAACACAAATATCATGACACACTTTGCTGAAAGCCCAATGTCACACGTACCTCTAACTTTCTTAGGCAGTGGGTGGTAAATTTCTGTGCTGTGTGTAAGAAGTAAGATAAAGAACAATCTCAGATGGAAATGAAGTTGGACTTAAAGTTAATGTCTTTCTCCATTACCTTATAATATATTTAGATTCTTGAAGGCACAAGCGAATTCCTCGACTGCAGATGCATAATTATCTTTCATTGAGGAAACTGCCTTTCAGCTACAAATGATATTTGATGTCTCACATTTACTTCAAGGACACAATTCACTTTGGAGCTATGTTAGACCTTTAATTCTCCTGTCTAAATTAGCCGGGGAGGATGCCTCTTCATCTGTGGACCGTGTCATCCTCACTCTGGGCCTCATCATCGGAAGAAAGACACACACTCATTATCTCATGATCTGCCCATGGTTGTTCCAAGACGAGAGGCATAAGAACACAGAGGATAATAATTAGAGTTTCTTAAAGAACTCAATCTTACTGGCATGACAACAGCTTTTGAATCATTTGAAAACGAAATTATATCAAGGAATTTAATTTGATTAGTTTGGCATCCGAATGAGAGTCTGCTGTTTCCATCAAATATCTAAACGGGGTAAAAAATGTGTGTTGCTTATCTCTTTGTGCCTCTTTGTTATGAACAAAGACATAACGAAGGAAAGACAAGGCTGAGATGGAGGGGGGAAATGTTATGACTCCATCGAAAATGGTGCCGTTAACAAATTGGTGGGTCTCAGCTGTTTCTCAAGTCTTCAGCCTCTGGCTGCGTTTGTCTGCCAGTTTGTCTCCCTCTTTGATGGTGCTGCTTCTGTCAATGCAGGACCTTCACTTGGATCCGGACGGCTCAAATGACAATGCTGCTGGCAAAAGAGAGGTAGTTGATGTGAGAAATGGGAATAAAAGGAGTCCAAACCATTGCTTCCCCCACCCACCCCCACCCCCTCCCCTGTCAGTCAGCCTGGACAGCCCCGAGGAGATCAAACCTGTTTGTAATGCGGCTCTTTTATTTCATGTCTGTGTTTACAACCTGACCGCGCTGCAGCCGAGTACTTTCTCACAGTTCTGTCTGGGCTCCACGTCTCTCTTTATTAAATCAGATGGAAGTTGGGGATGAAATTGGATACATTCATTGTCCTTGGCTGACAGTCTCTCAAACAACAGTACTCGTTTTTATATGCACTTCTCTGACAAGTGACAGGCAATTAATTGTGCCAACCCCAAGCCCGATCATCACGTTATACATTTCCTGCTAGGCAATTTGAATGTATAGTCATGTTGGTGGTCATGACAATTACCGTATTGGCCCGAATATAAGATGGCCCTGATTATAAGACGACCCGCTCTTTTTCAAGACTCAAGTTTGAAAAAAGACTTTTTGAACACCAAATTAATTTTTATACAGAAAATAGTTAAAGTACATCTGAAACAAATGATTATAGCAATATATTTGAGAGAAAAAGCATGTTGTTTTGCCTCATTCAAATCTAAAGTGCAATAACATTCGTAAATGAATGGCTTCTGGTTTTTGAAATGTAAATTACATCATAACTTCACCTCAGCTGCCGGTTAACCTGGCCGAGCTTTGACCCACTTTTCTCCAGATTGTCACTACGTTTCTCCATTTTCTGTTATCTCTTCTATTATTTTCTTCTCTTTTCTTTCTTACCGCTATTTTGAATTTTTCTTCTTCGTGCTACCGCTATTTTTATTTTTATTCTTTGTGACAGGGGTTCATTTTGGCCTGGGGAGTCAAGTTCAGCATTCGCTTCAATGATTTCTGGCGTCATCTGGCGTCGTGAATGGGTATAATGTCTAGACCCCGAATGTAAGACGAACCCCACTTTTTCAGTCTTATTTCAATGTAAAAAACACCGTTTTATGTTCGCGCCAATACGGTATTAAGATGTGAAGTGGTTCTTTCCTTTCAGAGGAATGACTTTGAAAATGGCATATCCTCTGGAGTCATCTTGAATCTCATTGTCAATGTTTGGGTTCCGTTCAAATACACAAAATTCAAGAAAAGGCGTTTGCTGTCCTTAATGGCGAACAAGCAAATCCACGAAAATATGCCATCGTGCTGCTCAAATGAGCATCGTGGCGATGGTCGTGCTAATGCCCTGCTTGAGGTGCATCATTTCAAACAATTACTCGGCCAAAATAGAATGATCACTTTCCACCTCAAATTCGCACGTATCCGTGAATAAGAGTGCACTTATACTGGGTCAGTTTTCGTACTATCCGTCAACATGGTTACTCACAAACTCGTCCTTACTTCATAATACATGAATGCACATTTCCCGACTCCCGGGATTATTTTGAGTTGACCTGATTTTCTATTGTCTGTTGGATAGCTTTCGTGCAAGATGACGGTTATCACAATAACTGGAGGTTGTGCGATAATTATACAACAGGTCCAGGTTCATTCAGGTGTTTGTGCATGAACAATCATGGCACGCTTATTCCCACTTCTACCAGCCGTGATGGGACTACGGTGGTCGACCAAGGCACGGAACGTTTATATGAGTAAAACAAACTGGGCTATAGGTGTTTAAACATATCCAGACACAAAATGAAATACCTACAAGAATATATTTTCAGGGAAAGACGAAGAAAACTTTACAATAGACTCGAGATTAAAACCTGAGCAATCAAAGTAGAAAACTGAGTATAATGCGGTGTGGTACAGCTATTTGCTTTGACTAATATTGTGCATGGAGAAAGTGTATGAAGCATTAGTAGATTTTTTTTTCTTTCAAAGTGGTTAACCTCAAGTGGTCACCATGACAATGTACCATGTTGTAATACTTCAAGTGACAAAGTTGTGAAAACCTTTTTGCTCTCACTACTGTTACAATCAAAGTGTTTTACTGAATGAATCAGTGTAGATTTAAATCCCTACTTTCTAATAATCAAGTGATCCTCACACATATACTTTAGTAGCACAACAATCAGGCAGTGCTGATGAGGGTTTTGGGGGAACTCGGCCCAAATCTATTTTACCGATACAGAGCAATGAAATGGGATAATTATATGCAAAACAGAACTAATATATATAGTTGAGTATAAGATGGTGAACTGGCCTCAGATCGCTAAGTGAAAGAAAGACATGGTGGTGAGCTGCCATGTTGACACAGTTACGTGACTTACTGCAATTCCTCATACATTTAATGAAAGTGGCATTAAAAGCGACACATTATTCTTGTTCTTTCGAGAAATCTGACTGAATGGCTACAGCTTCACATCCCATCTGCTGCATTTATCTTTACCAGCAAATATAGAAAATTGACAAAAACACATTTGGGAGAAACTAAAGAAAAACGAAAATCAGTATTCTGTGAGACAAAAATGACACATATAATACCTTTGCCAACACAAGTCCAAACCAGCCAACAGGCAAGCAAATTATTTTCAGGAAGACATACATACATTTGATTTTCAAAGTCTGAACCATTGAATACACTCTGTGTTATGTCCAAGTCTGTCAAATGGTATCCCACAGAGAACCAGTGTGAGAGAATAGAGTTCAGCAAGGGAGGGGTTAAAGACAGAAACGTGAAGTGTACAAACGAAAAGCTAAAAACTACTTGAAAATAATATCAATTTTATGTTTTAAAAGAAAGAAAAAAGAATTGTCATGTTGTGTTATTAGTAAAAATGTTACATTTGATAGAACGCAATAACAGGCTTAAAAGGATGATGACCGTAACGGCTACCTGCAGTGCACTAAGAAAAAAAAAAAAAAAAAAAAAGAATGCGCCCCCACTCTGCCCTCCATCTTTCACATAGCTAAGGCTTCTTCTCCTTTGGTCAGCTTGGAGAAAATGAATAGAAAATCCTCCCTGCAGTTTGTGATAAAAGGCCTGACTCAAAATAACACCAGGAGAGTTTTTAGCTCACTTTGCACTTTAGCAACAGTAGCCTTTCTTGCTCCTGGTTCACATCCCGCAGTGGAATGAATAGCAAATGACATTACAGTCGATCATATGACTTGGATTTGACAGAATATGCATGACACTTCCAACCATTCATAAGATTTCATTTCACTTTTCATCGGGTTTATCATTGCCGGTGCAGATTTGCAAAAACCACCTGCAGGAGTGTTTAACCATTTTAGTGGAGTTCTCCAAAGAAGCTGGATCGCTTCAACTCGGTACGCAAACCACTAAGTCATATTAACACACGTTTGATTTAGTTTACCACAATAATCATAACGAATGTTGAATATACATTTTGTACTAATAACACGAAAGAAATACGGCTTTAACGGCATAATAAGGGGGACCCCCTACCTGGCAGCCCCTGGATCCACGACCCCCGCTGATTGCGTTTTGTCGAACCATGGCATTCCATTGACAACATCCCATAGACTGTTAATTTTCCGTTGGTGGTCTCGGATTTCGCCAGCCCTTTCTTGGAATTGTGCAACCGGAATAGGTGCGTCCTGCGCTGTTCACGCTGCGGTGGTAGTTTCACGATCTGATTGGACAACGTTAAGCGAGACTTCATCAGCAGAACATCCCTGTCGTCATGACAACTTGCCAATATCCCAACAGGGGTGTGTTTGTGGGAGGCTGGACTGGCGAGCCATGCTTGCTCTCTTGCCTCCAAACTGGATTACGAATTGTTTTGTATCACTGTTCGCTCACCGCTTGCTTCCCCCCCTCTCGTTCGTAGAAGGCTACGCTAATCTTTTCAGTGTGCCTTTCCGGGGAATATATGAACTACGATCCAAGTCTACGACCAGCTGGCCCATCACAGTTTAATGGCTCAGTGTCTTGCACCACGGGATGCCAAATCAGCTTAAAACTATTCAGGATGGTGACAGATGATCAAAAAAGAATGGTAAAAATAAATAAATACATAAATGCTTTGTCAGATACACGAGAAAATTTATGACATTTACATTTCACTTCCTTTCCACAAAAGGCCTTTGTCATAACTCCCCATCATCTCACAACCATATCCTCCACGGGAATATCTCAAAACAACTTAGGTACAATGCAACTAGATCAACTGATCTGTTGTCTACGTTGACCTACAGTTTACATCAAATATCGATAAAGTAATCTGACAGACTGGAACGGAGGAAAAGTGCAAGGCTGGCAAAAGGCATTATCATGTTGTCAGCCATGCTAACCGTGGTACGAACAATGAATGTTTGTTGGCTGAGACACCTGCTGTGCTGCTAGTCTGCTAGCACATGATTAGCAAAGCGCAGACGGACAGTTCCCAGACTCTTTCCCAATTACCTCCTGCCGAGCAGTAGACGGTGACCTTGGCCGCTCCTGGAGCTCTTCTCACAAGCTAGAATAGAATGGCCGCCTGAGACATAAGGCCCTAGCCTCTGCACTCCTTTGATTGCTAATCCCCTAAACATTGTGCACCACTCGGCTCCCTACCTGGCCTTCAAGCCGGAGGCGGCTTGGTGGTGGCCATTGAAAGCAGGTGATGAATGGAGTCTAGCTGCTGGAAGCCAGACTCACTGGGTCGCCGATGAGTTCAATCGGGCCTCAAAGCTGTTTACAACAGTCCAGTGGGGTTAGCATCACTTTTGGTGGGTTTTAGAAGAAGTACGTCATGCCAATTCAGGTTATTTGCAGTTATATTGGTTTGCCAGCATACATGTAAAAGCACCACACACTAAATGTCAACAAAATATGGTTTATTGATTCCCAAAATATATATGATTCCCCCTGAAAATGTATACTTTAATAGAGAATGACAAGGCAAAATGTGTATTGCATCAAAGCTACCATGGCAAACAGAAGGCGCGGTACAACAATGCCGATGACAGGTGATTCTGTCCATGCAGATACTTGACCTGGTGACATGGAATTTCGAAACGCTTCCATATATATTTATGTTATGGTTGCAACACAAAAAGTAGAAGAAAAAAAACTGTATGGTGGAAGAAAAAAAGGAATACAAACCTTTGGGCATTTCAGCAGCATGTTCAGAAGAGGCAGCTGGATGCCAAACTCTAAAGCAGACCGGAGCTGAATTCAATGCCTCTTGTCAGCGGAGCTTGATGTGATTATTGCCCCCTGCTAGGGTAGGGATATAGTGAAGTTGTCTGGCGCTGCCAAGGACGCTCCAACAGCACTGCGGGATGCCCCTTTCACTGTCCCAACTCTCGGAACATCGCTCTGGAAGCAACAGGGGGGTGGGACGCATCCACCATCTTTACCAAGGAAGTCTGGATGTGTGCATGAGCACGTGTGTGAGTTTTGCAGTCCTTCAGCGTCCATTCTGCTGATGCTATAGAAACAAATGGGAGAGTCGATTGTCAAGTCGAAAGCAGGTTAAGCTTCGGCCAACCACACAGGCCTAGAATTTTGCCAATGACCAGGCCTATTCTTTTTTCTTCCATTGCTGTACTGTATATCACACTGTACTGTATGTCCCACATGTGAAAATGTTTGTCTTTGCCTGTAAGTGAGTAGAAAGGATTGTTTGATCTACTTAAGAAATGTCCCCCTCCCCCATCCATCCAGTGAGGAGTTCTTTGCTCAAGGCTCATATCGACAGACTCTCTGCTGACTATTGATTGGACAATATAAGAATAACAATGCCCTTTTCACTGGGATGGTGATGTTTCGATTCTTCTTTTTTCTTAACTGCTTAAGTGAACAATTTTTCAATGAGAAAACAAAAAAACACAACAGGGAACTCTGAAAATGTTTGCATCGGAATGGATAATGTTGCATGTATTATGCAATAATTTTCTACATTAAAAAATTAAAATCGTACAACACTGGTGTGCCTATGCAATTTGCAGCAAAGTCAAATGCACATCAAATCTGATGAGATTTTTACTTTGACCACCCAAGAACAAGATCAGGAGAGCAGAGAAGAGTGCCTTTTGGGATATGAGGGTAGATTTCCCCAAATCGTACCAGGCAACCTCTCAAACGACCCCTATTCCCTACTTTCGGCGGTATCCCCCCCCCCCCCAACCCGAAGGCAAACGGGGTAAAATAAGACTTCAAAGCATCTCCAAAATAGTCCTGACACAAACTCATTTCCTCATGTTACATGTAGGAGTCTGCCAAGCTTACCGGACTGCTCCAGCAGTGACGGCTTTCAATTTGCTTCTCTGTGCTACCTTTTGCTGTTTATAGCGGTGAGCTGATGCCATCTTGATCGAGCCCTAATTTACATTCTGACAAAGACATGCAAGAAGCCAGCAGAGGGGAATATTTACGAGGGCCTTTCTGTGGGACATACCGTGCTTAATTGAGACGAGAATATCAGATCCGACTTAAGAGGATGCTATTAGGAGCAAGGAACCACAAACGACTGCAAATTCAAGCGTGAAGACGAGGCAGTAAAGCCTCAGTTAGTCAGCACATTCAATGGATAAAAGTGTTGTTTTGGTGCATTGACGAAAAAGGAGCATCAAAGGCGTAGTTTTTGTCAATATCACATTGCTTACGAGGCCTGCTAAATAAAATATAAACCAAAACCAAATGCTTCCCCTCCTTGACACGCAGATGCACAACAAGGTTCAGTTTAGAGTACATGGTGATTTGAGATTGATATTTCCCAACAAAACGCCAGCAGGTGGGATTTTATTTGTGCTTTGAGAGGTGGTTTCACTTCATCTGTTAACAGTCCGGCTTTTAGATTTGCAAGAATTCACTAATACAGAGTCTATCACCGCTCCAATCAGTACAAAGAAAGTATCACACGGTGTTACACATTCTAGACCACAGAAGACACCACTATAACAGTAAAATGGATTAGGATGTTTTTACTACTTATTTTACAAAAACGGGGATCTCCTTCATATATTTTGTGCATGCACTAAATAAGACCTGGAGGTCGTGTGTCATGTTTTACTCCAATGTTAGGATTCCTATATTTTTTTCAGTAAATAATGAAGACAACTTGGTCGGAAAGTCTTTGCACCTGAATGCATTTTTGATGGTTCATATGAGGGATGTGATGACATCGAGAGAAATTATATATTAAAAAAAAAATAATCATAATAATTACAAGATATCACTGAGCTGTCAGCATTCTTTTTGCTCATAGACTTCGAACTGTGAGGTAGACGTTTCAGAGCCCACAGTCCTGGTACACTGAAGGCTTACAGGATGACAAACATTGAGAATGGGTGAATTGATCATGTGAGGCATATTGTCCGCCAAAGTTTAGTTGGTTACCAAATTGTTTGACCATTGGGGAAAACAAGCTTTCTGTATTTATTTGACAAAAAAATGCTGATTTCAAATGAATTGAGCATGTGGAATAATCTTCAAAATGTAGCTTGATTAACTTTATCACAAAAGCATTTCAACCAGATGTTTCAGTTCAGGTTTGATCTTGTCATAGCCATCAAAAATTAATTTGGAATGCTCAAAACCAATATATAGTAATAAAACATAATGCAGGATGCATCCCCGCAAACATACGAGCCAAAACCTGCACCGAATTACATGGCCCCAAACTAAAACTGGATGAAATCCAAACAACATTTAATTGGACTCACTTCTCATTGGGAAGTTTATGAACTGGCCGCAGATCACAGGTTTCAGTTTGATGCAGTCAACGCTCTCTGAACTCATTCCCATTTAAAAAGTACCCATTTTCCATAAACAATTTGTGTGTGTGTGTGTGTGTGCGTGCGTGCGTGCGTGCGTGCGTGCGTGCGTGCGTGTGTGTGTGTGTGCGTATTTAACACAGTTGGCATATTGTGAGGAACTTGGATAAATAATATGCTTCATTTGAGGAATAGGGTTAACATATTGCTAAGGATAAGAAATGCAGTATTTTGCCAACCGCTATCTAGTTATTTCTTATGGGGTCGTGACAGCAAAAGGATAGTTAATGCAGTTTATTCGGTCAGGGCGGGGTGCTACACCGCATACATGTACACCCACACAGGCACTGAGGTTGTGCTTCATAGAATTTTAATAAGGAATACCATCCTTTAAGAAACCATTTACCAAGCTAGCTATATATGTATATATATATATATATATATATATATATATATATATATATGGTGTGTGTGTGTGTATAAAACAGTGAGACTGCATAATTTACATCTGCATAATCTATTTCATTTTTCATTCACACAGGGAAATGGGGTAAGATTTATAATGAAGATTAGGTGGTACTAATATCGGGTAAGTCCAGGGCGTCATATGTCTTGTATAATGAAAATAAAGATGAGCTAACTATATTTGACTAGATTGCAATTGATACGAGCATTCAATCGAGCCAGAAAATCCCTTCGCATTACCACCATCGCTCTCATCCTCACCTCTGAATATGGAAGCATATATTGCTTCACATATAAGCCTGTGGAAAGGAAAAAAATACTGTACATATGAAGTCCATTGAATTAACAAGCACCAGTTCAACAAATAATTAATGACAGGTTATATTGCTGGGATAATAATTGAAGGAATTGTGGCCACACAAAACCAAGCATTCCGTCTGTTGTGTCAATATGTGCAGATTCTCAGAAATCTATTGACTTTTCATTGCTTGAGGATACAGTACATTGATTTTTTTTTTTGCCTTTCTTATTG